GGGCCTTTGTGCTAAAGAAGCTGGATAATATTCACCCGAGGTTATCAACGCTGAATGGTACTTGACCATTGCAGTCGGCTCACGCTGCCGGTTCAGGCGACATACCGAGCGGCTGACAGAGGGCGTGCAGACGGCCCTCAATGACTTTGAGTTACGTCTGAATGACAGGCATGACAGCAGCAGTACAGCTCTATCAACTCTGAACGCAGGTCTTTGTTCATGTATGGCGTACCATCAACATGAATGATGCTGATGACCGCGAGACCATTGCTGCAGCAAAGAATTGCACCTCATTGTCGGCGTCGAAAGATATTCACGGATAATTGCCACTCCTGCTATCAAGCCAATACAAGATGTCAAACATCAATGTTCCGTTGCACGCGCGTGACGCCAGTGCTGCATCATCAGAACAAGGGCGCCGACGTCACTGGGTTGTCTGTTCGGCGCCTCCGTCCAGAGGCGGCGCTCCTGGTCCCCACCGGATCACCGGCACACCCGGGAACAATGAGCCTCGCGGAGGCTCGGATGCGCCGCCCAACAGATGGCCGCTCCGAGTCCTAGCATAGGGTCAGGGCCATCCGCCGGTTATTCCTCGGACACATCCCACTAGGTGGTGTCATCCGGGTCGTCCCCCACTGGGGGGCTGCGGTCGGGTCAACTGACCATAGACGGCCGTGTCCATGTCACCTCTTCTGTTGAGCGGAAGCAGTCATGGACAGTCCCCCCCCGCGCCCCTGAACTGTCGCGTCCGCACCGCCCCCGTGCAGTTTGTTCAAGACCATCTGTGAATGGCTGAGTTCTGGTGCGAGACACACCGCCCGAAGTGGTCGTATCCGTCCCCCGATGTATGCCACTCAGCTGCGGGTGGTCGTATCCAAGTCGCCCATCGCCGACCGGTCGTATCCAAGTCAAGCGGTGGTGTCCAAACACCCATCTCCAAGCGGTGCCGTCCAAGTCACCCTTCTCCGAGCGGTCGCACCCAACTTCGCCCTCTGCGAGCGGTCGTATCCACCGCCTCGCTGCCCGAGAGGCGTTCGGGCTGGCGATGCGCGCCGCGCTGGCGGATCGATCGGGAGACTGCGGGCCCGCCGCTGCTCCGCTCAAATGACGACCGAACGGTGTCAGTGACACTGCCGGACGGGTGCTGGCTGCTGTCGGCTGAACTGACGACCGAACGGTGTCAGTGACACTGCCGGACGGGTGTCGGACGCTCCTCTGACGGCGTGTCGCGCGGCCGGCTGAGGAGCGTCGGGGGCGATCCCCGCGGTCAACGTCCGCTGGAGGGCGAGCCCCGCCCCTGAGGTCAGACTGATATGGACGCTAATGATGTCGTAATGCCGAGTCCGACGACGGCGGGACGCTGACATCGCTACGCTGATAGACATCGGGTGAGGGGGCTAGCGGCGGGGCATATCAGGCAGCCCAGCCATACTTCACTCAGGAGAAATAGCAGCGCGCACTTTCTCCTTTGAGCTGCACCGCACGTAAACGGACGCCTCGCATATGAATTGCAATGTGGGTTCACCTCAGGCAGAGTGTTTCTAAGACCCGCCACGCTCGTGCTTATCCGGCGCCGTCCCCCGCGCGGGAGCGGCGCTTGCGGAGTTTATGTTTTATTCACTACAAGGCGAGCGGCGTGATGCGGTCCACGGAGTGATGACGCGGTGCGAGCGCGACGACGACTGCTCGTCTGTCCGGGTCGCCTCCCCGCCCCTCCCACCCCACCCCCACCCCCTCCCCTCGCCTGTCACCGCCCACGGACCGGAAGCTCCGCGCCGGCTAACTTGGCCCGCAGTGTCTCGTCTGTCATACCCAGGCCGGCATACAGAGCCAGTGGAGGCTTGGTGGGAGCTCCGGCTCCTCCACCCGTTGCGATCAGCGCGGGAAATCTCGACATAGGAGTGCCGATACGGGGGCGGCGGCCGGGCTCACCCGGACTTGCCGGCGATCGAAGGGTGGGGCGTGCGGCGAGTAATGGGAGTGGGTTGTCGGCAGAGAAAAGGTTAGCCGTGCAGATCAACATAGACAGGGAAGAATGGGGATAAATACGGAGAGCTGACGGACACGCAGGTGCTTCTTTAATGTGGCAGAGGAAGATGGAGCTGACGAACAGGGCGTGGTCAAGTTGCAAGGAGAAGCAGAGAGAAATAAATATGAATGCGATTGCAGAAGGGAAAGAATGTTCACAAAATAAAACAAAGGACAATAAAGGATTTATGTGCCTTGTTCATAAAATATTCAAAAGTCCTAGATGATAAAGCGGCATGAGGAATCAAAGCCAACCACTTATCGGGCATGACCACCTGTTTTGGTAGGCGGGACACGCAGGGGCAGCTGGTGCCGAGCTCAGTGACCAAGCAAACACATTATTACGGTCACCGAAAATGGCTGGCCAGCATGATTGCCGCGGATGTCAACAGCTGGACAGCCGGCGGCGCCTGAGGTCATGGAACCCCGGACTGCGGCCCCGTCGCGGGCCGAACGACATGGAGAGGAAGGACATCGAGACTGCTGCGCTGGACACCTGGGACGAAAGGCTGCAACACCGAGGACCTGGGACGAGGGAAGACCGCTGCACTGGAGACCTGGGACGGAAGCCTCACTGGAATGCCGAAACCGCTCCATTAGGAGCCTAGACTAAAACCAAAAGTCTTGGACAACAGCAAGACGCCTGGGTGTAACTGGAGCACCCCACATGTGTTGGGTGAGAGGCGTGATGACAAAGAGTATGGTGTCGCGGAGGAGGGGATGCTCTGTCTGATATTGGGGCCTATCGGGTGAAAGTCAAGGTCTTTGCTCAATGACGAGGTAGCTGATAGCTAAGGATGAGTGCCGATCCATTTCCTTGGCGATGATACATTGTCGACGCACCTGAGTCCAATGTTCATAAGGAATGTATTGATCTATGATCTCCTTCAAGCTCGTAGATGGAGGTTATATATGGTATATATATATATATATATAATATATATATATTATATAGAGAGAGAAGAGAGAGATAGAAGAGAGAGCGAGGGGGGGGAGAGAGAGAGAGAGAGAGAGGAGAGAGAGAGAAGAGAGAGAGGAGAGAGAAAGAAGGAGAGAGAGAGAGAGAGAGGAGAGAGAGAGAGAGAGAGATAGAGAGAGAGAGGAGAGAGAGAGAGAGACGAGAGAGAGATAGAGAGATAGAGCCGGCGATTGCATAAGGTTATCAGCTGGTCCGACCGCATTAAGGTAGTCGTGGTGTGACGGGTACCTCCGGCCTGTTGCTGGAAGGCTCGCGGAGTTCGCGAAGCGCTGCGTCATTGGCGCTGGCGACTCACCCACCTAACCCATCGCCACGTCAATAATGGCGTAATGCGATGTGAGGGGGGCCGACTGGAACATTCGACCGCGCTGATGGTCTAGACGATGGACCCTCGGTACTTTCGGCACCAGAGGGCGTGCTTGAAATATGTGATATCCTGGCCGACGACGCTGACTGGGTCGAGCCGAAAACTCGTGATACTGTGAGCTGATGTGACGGTGGCGGGAGACGATAAACAAGTGTGTAGTTCGGTCAAAAAGACCTGTGCCCTCCAGATTACAAAGTACCATAGCCCGTATGTGGCCCACGTCAGTTTATTGGCCACAAGCTGATGGGCAGTGCTGACATTACGAGCATGTTCATGGGTTTCTCTTAAGCATGACCAGGAAAAAAACAGGTCTGGTTTCAAAATGGGCATACATTGCAAAGCCGATGCTCAAAGGAACTGGAAGCCCAAATTTGCCAAATGCAGTCGTACTCCTTCCGTGCAAATGCTACACCTGCCTACCTATTCCCACATCTGGAAGATACGTGAAGGTCAAGTGTGACCTCAGGAGCAGCACCCGAGCAGCTCTGCTTTGCTTGCCTGATGCCAGAGTGTGTGCCTGGTGTCCGGAGCGTATGTTTGGTGTCCAGAGCTTGTGTTTGGTGTCCAGAGCGCATGTCTGGTGTCCGGAGCGTATGTCCGATGCCCGGATCGTGTATCCGATGCCCGGAGCGTGCGTCCAGTGCCCGGAGCGTGTGTCTGTCCTGAGTGACGCCGGATTCCGGACAGAGGGCAGCCAGGAATTCCGATGCGCTATCGACCATCCAGACCTCCACGGCCGACCAAACCGTCCCACGACTTTGGCAGGCAGCCCGTCTGCGGCGGCGTCGAGGGATGCCTGCGACGGAACCGAGCCACCTGGGCACTAATCTGGTCTCTGCCCACCTGCGGCGAGGAGCTGCGCTAAAAGAGGCACGGGACTTGGGGGCTGGGTGGTTCGTAATGGAATCAAATACAGATTTATTGACAGAGTTAATAGCTGGATCCTGTGCCCTTCAGGTGGTTGGACACAATTCGTTTAGTGACCATCCGGTAGACTTAAGCGCCGGCTCCTAGGAAGAACTGCGTACAGCAGCTAATGTTCAGCTGGGGCTTTCTCTGGTCTCAGAATATTGGTAATGCAGCCGTTGGTATTAGTTTTGGGAATTTTTCTATACATAGTAGCATTGTAATCAGTCACAGGAAATGTCCCAGACAAGGAAACTCACAGTCAAGGAGATTTAGAAATGTGACTCCGGGACTGAGACAGAAAAGCTCAGGACAGAAAAGCTGGGATGTATGCATCCGAAAAATCACTTACGAGAGAATATCACGCTTGAGTACATAATGCGTTGATGACATACATAAATTCATAATGAGAGTCATCATGGGCATGATATCAAAAAACCGAACATAAAACCAATTACGAATATTCAGGCACAAAACAGCAATAGAGCTCACGCCAGAAGCTCAAATTACATATTGTCATGTAAAACCAGGGCTGCAAGAAGCGCATGCATTTCACCGTTGTTCAAAGTCGGAATGTGATAACCGTTGTACACATTTCCCATGACAAGGAAGCACTTTCTGATTCTCTTCGAGTATTCACCAGGCACGCCAGTCCGGTAAGTCAGAAGCTAACTGATCGGTGGCTTGGTGATGCTTGGCGGCCGGTGGCACGGCGCTCACCTGTACAGGAGAACAGCAGCACGAGGAGGACCAGGAGCGGGCGGCCGGGCCGGCCGTGTCGCCGTCGGCCGTCATGTTGCGTTGTGGCACCGCTTCCTGCCGGCGTCAGCCTCGGATCAGACGCTCTCCCGCTCGCAGCGCGGCGCGCCCCTCTGGCACATCTCCTGCCGAGACGGCGGCAGGTGAACGGCACAGGTCGCACGGCGAGGGGACGGCGCAAGAAGCTCGGCTCTCGGGTCGGACCCGCAACGGCCACCGCAGGCGACGGCAAACCTGCCGGCCCCTGAAACATGCTGCTCCGCAATGCATCTCCGCATTGCGGGCCTTGTAGAACAGCAGCTGACGGCTTCGGGAACCGATGTGGAGTAAACTGCAAATGGGTGCTGTCCATAATCGGCAACATCGAATCAAGCCGCCCTCGCGGTTCAGCGGACAGCGGACCGGACAGCTGACTGCAGAGCGTCGGACGTGCGGGCGGGCGTATCATAAACAGTCTTGATGTGACCCGACGTTGACAGGCACTGGTAGTCGCTCAGAGAGCTCGACACACTCGGGCCCGCCGCAGGTCTGCCGTCACACTGCATAGCACTGTTGCAGAATCTGCTGTGCTGTTTGGAAAACTACCGGGGTGAACATAGTCCCTGCTGTCGGCGTCGCTCCACTACGGTGGTGATGTTGGGGTCTTTTCAACAAGGCATGCTCTACAGTGGCGGACCCCAATGTCTCTGCCTTCAGAAACATTTGCATAAATTCTAGGCAAAAAGATAGTCATTCGTAGATGCACGATAGCCAACAACGGTGGCCTACAAAAGAGTGCCGTTTTCACGACGCCTTAAGGCAAGATGCGGTAGGGGTTCCAGCGTCCGCAAATTTGTCACACAAATGGGCGGAATATTCAAACCAAATTTAACCTTTCCACCACGCTTAATGCGCGGCAGCACCCGGCATTGTCCCTATAATGGTGCGATAAAACAATATGCATCACAAACGAGTGCCTATGGAATCTTAGCCGCTTGATCTGAAATGTTTATAGTACACCAGAGATATATCAAAGGCTGCCATAGCTAAAAGGATATTAACCACAACGAAAACTGGGTTCGTTTATAGACGTATGAATTATGGAGCTATTTGCAGGGTGGAGTTCTGGGCACTCCAACATTTGAGCCAATTTGTCGTCAGGCCTATGGCGGTGCATGACAAGAATCAAAATGCCCCTGAGAACACAACTGTTCCCTCAGATATGATCCAATCCAGCAGGACCCTCCAAACACATTAAGATCACCATCGCATGCATGCGATGGAACATATCCCAGCAAATGACCGTGGCAAACGAGACATCAGCGCCTTGTAGCACTATTCAAACATTCCGAACCTCATTTCGCCGGGCCCTGTGACGTCACCGAGCACTGTCAGCCGTGACGTTGAAGGGGCTCGTTCTGCGATGAAAGTGTCGACTTTGTCTGACGGGCGGTTCATGATCAGGTGGCGATGCGCGGTCGTGACCGCTTGGGTAAGCCTCGCGTCACCCGCGGCCGGGCGGTGCCAGCGGCCGCTGTCAAGGGAGCGATCGTTCGATATTCGGGCCTTGCAAACCCTGGCAGGTTTCGATGACGTCACGTTGGGACAAAGCAAGGCAGATGTGTCATTGGGCCAGTTTTGAAGAGGTTTTAGAATTTGTTTTTTTTTTGGGGTGCTTGGAGAGAAGCACGCTGCCTGGTAAATTGGTGCCAAATATCCAAAATCTTTGATATATCAGGTTTAAGTGTAGATGGATTAATTTACTAAAGGTTTCCAGATATGGAAGCGAATCTGCTCCATTTTGAGGCGTCCCTGGGGCTTTAATCAACTATTTCAGCTTGCATGTTGCTATGCTTTGGAAACTGATGATAGATAGATCATTAGGCCGTCGTGGCTGCTCTGTGCTTTTCAATTTGTTGGTTGTGTAAATTTGACAGAGCTTGTGGGCATTGTAAGTAGAGGCATGCTTAGGAAGTAATTTTAGAATATTTTTCTTCTTCTTGGGGAAAAAATGGGGTAGTTTTGGTTTCAAATGTTTCCCTCTTACTGTGGAAAGAAAAAGTGGATTTTCGATCATTAAAAGAAGGGTACCCCAGGCCTCTGTGCGTTTCATATTCTGCCGTCTGTGCTTATAGGATGCTGGGCTGTGGGAGGCTGGCAGAAGCCTTTGCTTCAAGATACGTAAAAGGTCGTGAGCTTCATCGGCCGTGTTTTCGAGGAAATTTCTTTCAAAATTATCTGAATCTAATGAGAGATTTTAAGCGACATGTAGGTCAGTTTTTTTATTCAGAATCATGCATTGCAAAAAGTGAATGGCCGCAAGCTGGGGATGTAAGGATTCACAGTGGGTGATTACCTCGATACCGAAATAGGTTATATTTTCTCGAGCTTGGATTCCCACATCGTTTGATTTACCAAGAACTATAAGCTGATCCTAAACATAGTTAACGGTGACCTGCATTTCATATAACGAGCTATGTGCTTATGATGGTTGATTTCATACTGATCTTGACGTTATTTCTTGCAACCATCCCGTGGACTATGGCACATTGGTTATGAGGTGAACGTGTGTCAGACACAATCACCAAGGGTTGCATCCCTTACGACCCCAGTCTTGATACTGCATTCACAAGAAATGTCATACGAGCTCGCGGTTTTGTTTTTTCTTCTTCTTCTTCTCCTTCGACTAACGATCTTTTTCATACGCAAGCGTTTCTAATTCAAGAGGATTACGTAATGATAGTAAAAGTTTCTAATCGATTGCGAAAGTCATACCCTTGCTCTGAAAGCAATGGCCACACCTAGCAAGTTTTGCTATCACCTAATCAATTTGTCATGATCACAGTTGGACGATTTGGGGCGCTGAAGACCTCTTCGTGTACTTTGAGAGATATTGACAAAGTTTAACGTTTCTATAACGCAGTTTTGCAATGGTGACTGGTCATGTTGTCATTCATGCTATTTCAGGCTTCATGAGGCAGTGTGATCTCTGATTTACATGTGACGTAAAAATGCGTCTCCTTGGTTAGTTATTTATTTGAGTTTGTGGGTGCACCAGCTGCTGAGAAGAACAATCATGTCGATCACGCCCAAATCAAACACGGCGTCTAGTGCCTCTGATGCCAGTGCAGGGCTTATGCGAGGTTGTGTATATCCGAGCAATACTGGGCTGCTTTTCAACCCACGAAAAAACACCATTCAGCAATAACTTGGCAAAGCGCTCTCTGGAACAGGCAGGGCCACGTGTGCTGGTCACGTATGCTGGGTTTAGTAGCTGTATTTGTGCCCGCAGAAGTCCAATTATCTTCGAAACTCAAGCGCAGCTGCTTGTACGTTCGGTGAGTTGAGTCCATAACGTCGCAGCGTACGTGGCTAACAAAGGCTTGAAACAGAAGACATGTTTGCTAGTGGAGACATGACGCCACTGGCCTGAGCTGGTCACGGCCACTGTAGATTGGTAACCAGACATATAAACCAGCGATGTTGTGCCTCAAAGGTATTGGTACAAATGCACCGTAATTCTAGAACACCATCTTGTGCAGAAAACTGCGCTTGAAGTTTTAACACAATTGTCTTGTTATGCTGACGAATCTTACCAAGACGTCAGTTGCTTTCACTTGGTATCCTTGGGGGGGGGGGGGGGGGGGGCAACAACAGAGCAGCCGAAGAGGTGACAACAGACCCTCTAGAATCGTCGAAGTAACTATGGCATGCTGAAAAACATAATTTGTACCCCACCAATTGCCCCGGTCCGCCTTGGCGGCGGAAGCTGGCACTGGTGGTCCTGGATAAGCAATTGACAAGTGGATAAGCAATTCAGCTGAAACGAATCGAGACCATCACCTGTAACCGCCCTGACTCGATCAACCCGGTCTGTGATGAAGCACAGACAAACCAAAATCAATGCTGATCATGGAATAACCCCGGCAGTCTGCTTACTCTTCTCTGTTCACGAAAATTAAATTAGGAATAAGCAGCGCACGCAGATTTTTGACCTCTATTTCGCTGTCCCAAAAATTATCATTCCTGCTTCACCATCGCAGAAGTCCCAGTGAAGTTCCAGCTTGGCCAACTCTGTTCCCGACGGTTGTTCCTGGCGATCATCTGCCACCAACCCCTCTGTCCTTTGCGCCAGCGGCAGGAGGGCCTCATTCCTCCACCCGCCGCCAGTCTCAAACCGGTAGAACATCATGTTGGGGAAGAATTCAGTTGAAACAAATTTAGACTTATCAGCCATAGCCATGTGAGCAATAAGCCTCGGCTGACTCTCCTCGGTCGCCGCGGGCGCCGCTGGGCACAGGTCGGCGCATGAGACGGTATGCAGCGGTGAATGGGGGCTACTGTGCCGGCGTGCCGGGGCCGACGGCTTGAGCCTTCTGGCGCCTTGAGCGGGGCAGTCGTGCCGATCTCATTTGGACATTTACTGAAAATTATCTGCATCGAGAGTCGTTACCCGTGCTACCGATGGCCATACGATAATAACCTGAACCGCACTGCCCCAGAGATACTTATCACCCAGATAACGATGCGACTTGGCATCGCATTGCACCAATAACAGGATGGTCATCAATTCCGGTGCAGCATCGCAGGGTCATGCGTTCATAAGCACTCGGCGGCTGCCGCTGGGGGAGCCGAGGACCCGGCGCGCAGTCGCAAGAGCCTGGGCTCGACCGCAGCGGGAGTATTCGCGAGCAGAGGCCGAAAGGAGCGATGGCACCGATCCACCGGCCCTCGACGAGGCCACGCACGAGCCATGGGCTGGGGGGTCGCCGCGGTCAGTCCCGGCCACGCTCGCCGTCGGGCGCCAGTGCTGGCCATCGCCAACTTAGCAGGTGGTTATAATGCGAGGTAAGCAGCCCGAGACTCCGGGACAGCGCGCGTTGCAGCTTGTACCAAAAACTTCCCTTTTTACATGTTTTACGTCCATGGATTTTCCTCTCCTAGTGCCGGAGCGTCTCTCACGCTCCCACCCAATTGCTTTTTGGGGGGCATTCCATGTTTCGTCGAAAGCCATATCGCAAAATATAATCCAATGATATGTATTGATAAATGATGTCAAATGTTTTAGTTCAAGCAAAACCCCACCGCGTTATTTTCGTGTCTCCCTGCATGTTCATTGCCTTCAGAGGTTATGAGACTAGCCACGTGCTCAATTTTGAGAAATTTAGCAAGATAGTGTTGTACCAAACTAAGACATGAAGCAGAAATGAAGACGTTACCTGCAATGAATTAGTACATTGTAGACATATTTTGAAATATGTTGGCACGCCTGATAAAAGAAATAGAGGTCCATAGTCTTTTTGGAGGTTATTGCCACTTTAAAATATTGACGATACAACAACTGGCTCGGTGCTGGTTGAACAAAACGTGAAACAAACGTAAAGTTACATCAGTTTGTCTGATATCTCCAGGGATGAACTTTCTAACTCAGGAATGATATGCATGATTTATTGCTTATCTACCGACGAGATAACTGTGGTACGATATCTCATGATCCACAGCACATGGTATCATGGGTGGGCCTGGTTCATTACTGTACCACCAAGCATGCGCATCATGCTTGTTGCAATCAGCTTATCACTAGTCGCTTTGTATTACTTTTCAATTCTTGAGCTGTATTTAATAGCATCTCATCGGTAGACAATAGTCACAAGAATAAATGATAAACATCAGCATTCAGTTATTTCAACCGCGCGACCGATTTGTATCTTTCGGTATTTGTCGTCGCCAGCTTTTAGCCTGCCAGCCTTTCGCTGTTTGCGCTTCGGTGTTTTCATTTTATCTTCTCGATAATCGGAAAACCTATGTTCTATTCAACAGCAGTCCTCATCCTTTTAGTAACCCCCTGCAGATGGAAATGGCTTAGAACCTTGGGATCGTGGAGACCTCCAAACTTTGAAATAGGACGCATCAACTGCATTTGTCTAGGCATCAGAGTATTCTTCATGCTTAGTGATAGCGATTGCTTTAAAACAGTGGGCCACTTGTTTGACCACACACCACCATGCTTTATTGGCGAAAGTTCGTGTTCCTAATCGAGCAAGCAGAATCATTTGAGACGATATTCGCCGTGGAGACGACCGAATCGCTGATATGAACCTTTTTCAGCCATCTAGAGCTCAACAGAAAAAAATCCCAGTTCGCCCGGTTTGCCCGGTTTATACCCGGTTTTAAGTTTGTTTTGATTGTTTTCTCCTTGTTGGTGATATCCCCATCGTCGTCCAAGAAAGCATGCATAAAAGCTGTCCGTTGTCCCTAAATGGTTCCCCACACTTGTAAAGCGACGTAACACTCTACTGCACCTCACCATTCAACCAAGATTCACAGCCTGTGTGGCCACCGGGCTCGCATCGACTGTTGTTTTTGTTCGTCCGTGTCCATTCTGTTCTGTGTTGTGCTTGTCTTTCGGCGCCTGTTATGGGTACCTCGCCTTTTCGAGAAGTGGTATTCCGAAGCTCTTCAACGGGCGCACATTGCAAGCTCGTTGAAAGCACGCACTGAGAATCTTCTTTCATCTTATAGTTTACCATAATAATGTAAGTGTTGTAACCAGCCTTATGAGCCATGCCGTGACAACTGCTTTTATCGATGCGTGACTGACCATTACGAGTACAGCTTTCAAACATCTGTGACAACAAAAAAAAATCATGCAACCCGCCTGTTTTACAAACCATGGGCATGTGCGCGCATGCCTCTGTCCCTAATTGTACTGAGGCGCAAAACTGCAACTGTACCTACGATCGGCTCTTAAAGACGTAAGCAGCTAGCAATGAATCAATAAGCTATCAGTTGAAACCTACGACTGCGATACCCACGTGAAAGCGTACATGTTCGATGCAAACGGAACAAGAAGCATGCCATAATAACGAGTTACGTAATCGGTTTACACGGCGCAGAGAGCCCGGTCACAACTGCATCGCTGTAAACAAACTTCATACGACAATGATCGACCGCTCTCGATAGATTTCCTTGATTTTTTAGTCGGCACATTTCCGTAGTCAGTCTGGAATGTGCAGCGCCAATAGATTCATAAATTGTAAGTTCAACAAGTGCAAAAATATGATGCGCTGTAGTTCATGCCCTTTTCGTTTCCAATGTCTACAAACAGAAGCTTACATAATAATGGCAAGGACAATACGTCTCGTTAGAAGGGCAACTCATCTAACCGTCACATTTTTTAAAAATAAAAACCGCCAATATTGGCACGTATATATGCGGATGGGAGGGTGTGAGGGACGCTCCTCTCCCTCTCTACCCTGTAGTAGCATCAAACGAGGGAGGGGACACCAAATTACGTGCATGAGCACAAAAAGACAAACTCATTACTTCGATGACAGCTTGTAACCAAGCATTCATCGGGAAGAGTGAAGTTAGAACACCTTGCTGGGACATACATAGGGCCAGGAGATGTGCCACGGTCACGGATACTAAAATCGCAACACCGACACACGACGCCTGTCTGTATTACAGTTCGGCCAGACGTCAAGAACGTCGTGACGTCGGCCGCCAGCTCTGCGCCTGACATACCTGAGGTCGGCTGGGCTCCAGGCGGCGGTGACTTCACCCGGCCGCGTCCGAGACACAACCGCCGCCGGCCCCGTCCGAGCGGCGTCTAACGTCGACGCCGACGAGGCCGCCCGGCCACCGACGGCCGACGCCGCGGCGGCCCGGCCAGCGCCACGAACGCCGCTCCGGTCACGTGCTCGGCGCGGCGAGTGCACGCGCCGGGCTCAGGGTTACTCGAACACGCAGCGTCGGTCGGCCGGGCCCCGGAGCATGCTCCCGGTGCCCGCAGCGTGTCCACCAGTTGCTGGCGCGCGCCGTGCGGTGCGCCGCTGGAGTGGAGGGCTCGCTGCGGCCGGCTTGGAATGCGCCGTGCCGCGGCCACTTGATGTGGGTGAGCTGATTGGTTGGCGGCGGCACGGCGGCGGATAGCCGGGGCCGCCATCCGACCCGCCGAGAGACGTCCCGTCAACGGACGTGACCTGCATCCAGGCGGCGTGGCGCGGCGCGCCCGCCGACCGTGTTTGTTCTCAGGGGACGCCGTCAGACTGTGGGAGGCGACAGCTGCTCCCGTGTGCATCGCATGGTCTCTGATGACGCCCCACTGAAAAATGGCCGCCGACTCTGTGACCCGTGCCTTGGTGCGGATAATCGGGAATGGCATCCATGGGTCGTGGAGCTGCGATAACGTTCCCACGTATACTTGAATTGGATGACATATCCGTTCCTTTGGCATGTCAGAATCGTCCATGAACTTATCATGTGCTTCTTCTGTGCAACGGTATATTGCCCATTTTGCACGAGGTTTCAACCGAGACAGCCGGATTATGGTGGTTGCACTGTATGGTGAAACGTATGTGAATGAATTTGTACCCCTCCACTGGCTTCGTTGACTCGATCACCCACTCCATACCCATTCAGTGTTTTTTTCATGACTTCTTAACGAGTGAAGCCAGAGTTCAGAATCGATCGCTTCCTGACAAGAAATATTCAAGACGTATTGTTTCGAAAATGTGACGCCATCTATTCCCACGCTATACAAAAGTGGCGTCAAAACGTTGATCAACAATTGAGGGGCCGCGGCGTTCGGGCTTGCTTCATGTTCACGCATGCTTCTTTGAAGTTATATAGTTTTTAAAGGTTCTCATTAATGCTATCAAGCCACGGTGGTATAATGGAAAGGTTAGCTAAGTCATCCTAGGTCATGACACACTCACCTTACAAAATGACCTCTTGTAAAAAACGGTCCAAACCTGTCTGTTCTTAAAGGCTGCATCTGATGGGGCCCCGTTAGTGTCGCGATCTCGCAGCAAGTCCTCTTAATCCCCGGTCCCCGGGTCATCTTGCGACAACTCGAAATAACGTCTCACGATCACACGCTCAAGACAAGCCGTTTCTGGCTTGTGCGAGATGACCGGGGTCTGCATTTCGTTCACAACTTACACTGTATGCCATTCACTTTTAGGAGGCAGGCCAATCTTCGGGTCGTCCTGGTTCCGCCTATTTTAATTCAGCGGCTACGCGCGGTGGATGCCTTGTAAGCCGCAGGCCGTGCAACGTCCACATAAACTGCCCCACAGAGTATAACCGCATTGTATGCGCTGGTTCATGCATGCATGCGTGATGTGTTGATGCGGACGAACCATTTGACGCATTGGCCTGACGTGCCGTTGGAGACAGGCGGCTCCAAGCACATGTGTAAGAATACGTTATGTATGTTGTAGGTGCTCCACGTCTATGGTGTGCCGCATTTCCTGCCAGTGCTAGAGAAATGAGACGCATGCAAGCGTGTGATGCATTCTATAGGTGCTCTACATCTACAACCCACCGTGTTTCCTGCCAAAGGAAAGAGCAGCATCTAAGCATGTGTGGGGACAACGGTTTTCAAATTTTTCGTCACGATTGGGCCTGAGGTGGTATAGGATCTGTCAGCGCGTTAAACGCACGGACCGTGAGAGAAGCCATGATTTATCTATGACATGCTATTCAATCCAAATGGCAATCAGTTTGGGTGTCATTGTGGTTACGAAATTTAGGCGAAATTTCGAAAAATTGGGGTCTATGCCCTTACAAACTGATGAACAACATAACGCAATAGCGAGAGCCGGAACTAATTAAAAGAAGTCACGAAATCTATGGTAAGTTTCGAAAAATGGGGACCCATCGGATCAGACCGACTGACAGTGCAGCAGCTGATAGTAACGTAACCACATGTGAGTTCATTAGTAATGAACTTTCCAGATTGGCTCCCTAGTGCTGAAAACGTTTGGGGGAGTCGTTAAACCCCGCCTAATGCGATCAAAGGAATGTGGCAAATATGATGGAATATCGGATGAATACTAGAGTGCATATCTGGCTTGGGCGTATGCGCCAAGAAGACATCAGTGAGTTAACTGACGTTGGTGTGAGCCTCGATGAAATCATATAGTTATAATGTTAAATTATGTCTTCTTAACACTTGGCAATTTCTGGAAGGTTGCGAAAAAAACACGTAAGAGTTGAAAATATTGACTTGATATCTTGTAACGTATTCTTTTTACTCCGATTTGTGCGCCGTGCCGACTACACAGCATCTTGAGTTGCTCAGGTTTTGGTTCGCTGGTGTGTGTTTTTTCTAGATACGGTACACCATGACAAAATGTTCAGGGCTGTACACATTGAAGAACTGTCATCACGCATTCATAAAACTCCCTCATTTACCAATGCTAACCCCATCAGTAATGCAACATCAGACGACATGATAGCTCAAACTTATTAAAAGTTAAGCACGCTGACTCAGTGACCTTCAATTTACCGGGGGATACTGGTTAAACGATGTTGTGGTGCAATGTTGGTATATTGACCATACTCAGCGTTTCAAGTTGCGCTCATTATGCCCACCAGTGATAATTTGACTCGTGGCATAAGCCCAGCTTGAAACGTCGAGTGATGTCAATATAGTAACCAACGTTTGTAGTATAACGTGTTTTATGGGCACCTCATGATACCCTGAAGGTCGCAACTCAGCACAAGGACTCTGAGTTCCCGAAAACCAGGAGGTGAAACCCTTTCACTCTTGATAAACGTGCAATTATGTCAGCTCTAATCCAGCAAGATCATTGCGCCTGGAAGGCCAGTTTGTGTAAAAGCGGTGTAACGTGGTGGTCAACTGATGTCATCCGGTGTCGCTCCATAACGTCCCGACAAACAAACAAAGCAAGCTTTTTCCAACGTAGGTCATCCCAGACTCCATCCTTTCCGTGGTATTCGAGCACGCTCTAAAGCTCCAATCACCATCATCATCCATGGCGTTCGCAAGCAATTCGAGCGGTCGCCGGTCACGGAGCGGCGATATATTTCCAAGTAGGTGTGCCGCCACTCCCCGGAAGCGAGGCGGCTGGCCCAGTCGCGAAATGGAAACGCCCCTGGAACCCACCCAGCGGCGGCTTGCTTATTCAGGCCCACCCGATTCCACTCTGATGGCCATCACACCCGTGGCGCGGTTATCGCCCCGGCTGCCGGGAAGCGCGGCTCCAGAGCCTGGCGCCGCCGTCTGTGCGGACTAATGTAGACCGCAGACAGTGATGGCCCTCCCCGGCCAGCGCCGTGTGCACTGAGGGGACGGAGTCCAGGGGGCGGCACCGGGACGGTCCTCCCTGAGAGGACGGAGTGGCACCGCGGCGATCCTCCCTGAGAGGATGAGTCCAGGGAGCGACACCGGGACGGTCCTCCCTGAGAGGACGGAGTGGCACCGCGGCGATCCTCCCTGAGAGGATGAGTCCAGGGAGCGGCACCGGGACGGTCCTCCCTGAGAGGACGGAGTGGCACCGCGGCGATCCTCCTTGAGAGGATGAGTCCAGGGAGCGGCACCGCGGCGGTCCTCCCTGAGAGGATGAGTCCAGGGAGCGGCACCGGGACGGTCCTCCCTGAGAGGACGGAGTGGCGCCGCGGCGATCCTCCCTGAGAGGATGAGTCCAGGGAGCGACACCGGGACGGTCCTCCCTGAGAGGACGGAGTGGCACCGCGGCGATCCTCCCTGAGAGGATGAGTCCAGGGAGCGGCACCGGGACGGTCCTCCCTGAGAGGATGAGTCCAGGGAGCGACACCGGGACGGTCCTCCCTGAGAGTACGGAGTGGCACCGCGGCGATCCTCCCTGAGAGGATGAGTCCAGGGAGCGACCACCGGGACGGTCCTCCCTGAGAGGACGGAGTGGCACCGCGGCGATCCTCCCTGAGAGGATGAGTCCAGGGAGCGGCACCGGGACGGTCCTCCCTGAGAGGACGGAGTGGCACCGCGGCGATCCTCCTTGAGAGGATGAGTCCAGGGAGCGGCACCGCGGCGGTCCTCCCTGAGAGGATGAGTCCAGGGAGCGGCACCGGGACGGTCCTCCCTGAGAGGACGGAGTGGCACCGCGGCGATCCTCCCTGAGAGGATGAGTCCAGGGAGCGACACCGGGACGGTCCTCCCTGAGAGGACGGAGTGGCACCGCGGCGATCCTCCCTGAGAGGATGAGTCCAGGGACCGGCACCGGGACGGTCCTCCCTGAGAGGACGGAGTGGCACCGCGGCGATCCTCCCTGAGAGGATGAGTCCAAGGAGCGGCACCGCGGCGGGCCCTCCCTGAGAGGATGAGTCCAGGGAGCGGCACCGCGGCGGTCTTCCCTGAGGGGACGGAGTCCAGGGAGCGGCACCGGGACGGTCCTCCCTGAGAGGACGGAGTGGCACCGCGGCGATCCTCCCTGAGAGGATGAGTCCAGGGAGCGGCACCGGGACGGTCCTCCCTGAGGAGAGTCCAGGGAGCGACACCGGGACGGTCCTCCCTGAGAGTACGGAGTGGCACCGCGGCGATCCTCCCTGAGGAGATGAGTCCAGGGAGCGACACCGGGACGGTCCTCCCTGAGAGGACGGAGTGGCACCGCGGCGATCCTCCCTGAGAGGATTGAGTCCAGGGAGCGGCACCGGGACGGTCCTCCCTGAGAGGACGGAGTGGCACCGCGGCGATCCTCCTTGAGAGGATGAGTCCAGGAGCGGCACCGCGGCGGGTCCTCCCTGAGAGGATGAGTCCAGGGAGCGGCACCGGGACGGTCCTCCCTGAGAGGACGGAGTGGCACCGCGGCGATCCTC